GCTATAGGCGCCGAGCCTCTTCCTTGTTCTGACAACTCGAAGAACATGCTATAAGGATTGGATCTGAAATTAGGGCAATAGTTTAGAACCTACAGAAAATTGGAGTGCTTTGGGGCCTAACTTGAGGGTAAGGTATGATGGGGTATTCATATCGGGGTATAAATAATAGGAGTTGGTAGTAAACATTCTGCTCTCTGGAGATCATCTGTGTCATATTTATTCTGAAACTTGATTCATGAAGAAATGGACAAGAGTATTCTGGTATTATGATGTGTGGTTTTACTCAGATAAGATCAGAGGGGATGAGACATTGTAACCATACTGCTGAATTTTTGCCTTACCTAGTAGTAGAATAGAAGAATTAAGTCATTTTTAGCTTCTAACACTTTTAATGAAGACTGGTAAGTACTGCCCATGACTTCTTTCATTTAACCCTCAGGTTAACAGCTTGTTCAAGTTCAGAAAACCTAGAAGGATTTGTTTTTGACTCCAGGCAGTCTGACTGCAGAGCCTTGACAGGTAACCACTTGTCTATGGTTGGTTTGACTTGTCTACCTTTCTTTCCAGTATTAGATGTCACTGTTTTCAGGAAGGGAAGTTCCTTTGCTGAGTCTTTAGCCAAAGACCCAAAGTGAGAGCCATGTTTCTTTCGTTTCAACCTTGTAAACATTTCCATACCAATGTTTTATTTATTTATTTTTGAGACAGTCTTGCTTTGTTGCCCTCTGTAGAATGCTGTGGTGTCATAGCTCACAGCAACCTCAAACTCTTGGACTCCAATGATTCTCTTGCCTCAGGCTTCCTGTTAGTTGGGACTACAGGCACCCACCACAGCATCTGGCTATTTTTTTTAGAGACGGGATCACTCTAGCTCAGGTTGATTCTTTTTAAAAATTTTTTATTAAATCACAACTTTGTACATTGATGCATTTATGGGGTACAGGTTGATTCTTGGACTCCTGAGTTCAGGCAGTCCACCTGCCTCAGCCTCCCAGAGTGCTAGGATTACAAGAGTGAGCCACTGCACATGGATTTTTTTTTAAATTAGTTAGAATTTATTGAGCACCTACATTTTACTACGTTTGATATAGTGTATCCAGACCATATGACAACATAGATACACACACAGAGACACACATATATCATAATGGTTTTTGATCTTCTGGGGCATAGAGGTTGGGGGGGGTCGGGAATCTGATGATAGCTTTGGATCTTTCCAGAAAAATTCACTTTTCGACATGTACGACACAACTTTTTGTTGCCCTTGGTAGAGTGCTGTGGCATCACAGCTCACAGCAACCTCCAGCTCTTGGGCTTAGGTGATTCTCTTGCCTCAGGCTCCTGAGTAGCTGGGACTACTGGTGCCTGCCACAACACCTGGCTCTTTTTTTGTTGCAGTTTGGCCGCGTTTGAACCTGCCACCCTTGGCATATGGGGCTGTGGCGCTACTCATTGAGCCACAGGTGCCGCCCCCCAATTTCCTTTTTTTGAGACAGAGTCTTAACTTTGTCACCTGCGGTAGAGTGTGGCATCACAGCTTATAGCAGCCTCAAACTCTTGGGCTCAAGCAATTCAAGCCTTAGCCTCCTGAGTAGCTGGGACTACA